ATTCTGGGCTACAATGAGATCAATAAAGATGGCAAAACAGCAGAAGCTTGGTCAGATGCATACCAGGTGAATTTGATTTATGACCAAAAGCTACCTAAATTATTCAACAGCAACTAGCAACTGCTGGAAACAAGAATACAACCCAGACCTTATATTCACCAGCAACACCATCACTAGGCTAAGTAATAAAATGGTATTACACCCCATCCCATATTTCCAACATCAACCAATTCAGATCAAAGCTGCAGTAACACATATAACAGTGCCATTTTTCTAATGTTTCAACCTTAAAATGGCAAACTGGAAAGTCTTTTCAGAATAGCTTGATGCCACAGTCAAAACCATCAAAGGACTGCTTGAGGATTATGACCAATTCATAAAAACTACAGAAATCCGCGAGGAAAAAGTCCCGCAAGTTTGCTGCAAGAATTACATCCCAGGCCTCACTCCACAAACCACTAGCCTATATGAAGACTACAGGCAACAGTATGAACTAGACCCTTTTTCCACAAACACCATCGCTACAGGCAAGAAGTTCATGTTAGCTATCACAGAAGAATGCAGGAAATCCTACCAGACCCTGATTGAGTCTACACCTTAAGGGCCGATATAAACCCGGCTTGAAAACAGACTTTTGTTTGTCAAACTGGATGGGAGGCAAAACAGTTGGAGGTGACAGATTAAGAGCCGTCCCCAAGAAAGTATGCTTGCACCACTGTTATATAACAACTATACAAATGATCAGTCAATTGATTTGGAAACAAAATGTTTCATCTATGCAAATGACCTGCGCTTAACAGCCCAAAACACTGACTTTGGCTATGTCAAAAAATCCCTAAACGTGCCACTAATTGGACTAACCTCATACTACATTGAAAGCCAATTACATGCCAACCCAGTGTAAACACAAGTATTTTGCCTTCCATCTGAAAAACCATGTGGCCAACTGCTAGCTCAACATTACATGGTCTGGGAACCTACTATCTCACTGTCCAAATACAGTTTACCTTGGAATCACCCTTAATCAAACCCTCTCATACAAAGAACTCATCATTAAGACGAAAGCAAAGGCAAGTACTTGGAACAATATTCCTTATAAGCGTGTCATCTTGAAATGGTGAGCTAGCCCCTCAACCATCCAAACCACTGCTCTGGCTCACAGCTTCTCCTCTACCGAGTATGTATGCCTTGTTATGGGACAGATCTGTACAAAGTAAACGGCATGACCCCATTCTAAATGGTAGCTGCCAATGCATCACAGGATGTCTGAAGCCTACCAGCCAGAACACTGTGTACCTGCTGGTTGGCTTCACTCTGCCTGACATCAGAAGAGCAGTAGCCAGGGGGACAGAACGATCGAAACAAACTGAAGATGTGAGACACCCACTGTATGACCATCCCACAGCATACAAACATCTGAAGTCATGCAGGAGCTTCCTAACCAGCACCCAACCTTCTAATGCCACATTCCAAGGAGACATGGCTACAGATGTAGAATGAGAGGCTAAAGAAAATATCTGACAGTGAAAAAGTATACATTTCTTACCACCATGGGCTGACAAACCATAGCAAAGGTAGAAATGTCTCAACTGCCTAGGTACCGGAGCTGGACATTTCAAGTAAATAATGAAATGAGGCTATACCACTGATTCAACCACCTGTGACTGTGGCACAATGCCCAGACTTATGCAATACCTGCTGCGATGCCCACTTCTCAAAAGCACATGTCCAATGAAAAATATTGCAAAATACAATAAATAAGCACAAGCCTACATAACAAAATGGTCAAATGTGGTGTAGAGACATGAGAAAAAGACTAGAGAACAACCGTTTCCCTGTATAGCTCTTCTGCGTTGGAAATTATATGGATGAATTGCAGACAGTTGTGTCTCGAGTTCTGGAGAGTAGCATGGGGACAGCATTTCTTCCATGCATCTCCAAATCCCTTTTCTTTCCAACTTTTTCACCCTCCTCCCCAACCCTAGCCCATCCCATCCACACTGTGTCACGTAGGGGAGCAGCAGTCTCTAAACATTTCAGGCTTTAAAAACACCTGTAGAATAGTCTTCCTTTAAGGAGAACACTGCCTATCCATGACTGCCAGCACCACTTGAAAAAGTACCAGTTCTCGTCAAGTGTGAAATAAAATAATTATCTAAATATGAACAGTATAGTTTAGAAAAACTGATGCATAAGGCCAGTGGCAACTCAGGCATGGCTATCATCACAAACATCTTGAGCACTGCAGTTGATACCATGAAATCTATATAATCTAATATCATATAACACTTAATATAATCAATTACCTAGTACTAATAGTGTCTCTCCCCCCATACATAAACTTAGTTGTACTATCCATTGAAGTTAAAATAATTCGAAATATGTAAGTCATATTTATACATAAATATAAATAAGGTACATGATATTAAATTTAATATTAAATTACATAGTATATATATATATATTAAATAAGGGACAGCTTGAACATGCAAGTAAGTCCAATCTGTGGTTCTATGAATTTATTCAAACACTGCATACTAACAAAAGTATATTTTCTTCAGATAATATTTTAACTTTTTTGTAAAAGTCAGTGTGCAGGTTTACCAACTTATTCACACTAGGAATGTCATACTGACTGCTGGTTCAGCATATATTGTATACTCAATTGATATGCAAGTGCATAAGCACTAAAGCAGCATCCCTCTTCAACTTCTTAAACAAATACACTTCAGTAAAAACCCATAAACTGGAATGTATAGTACTATCTAACACAGAGATGAGTTGGCATAGTCTGCTGTTTTTTTGTCATGTTCTGGAATCCAATTAATAAAAGTGGCTTTTCTACCTTCCAATCATAAAAATATTCAGCAACAACAAGTTGTACACTAAGACCCCCCCTCCAGATGTTACATTTGTTACAGACTATATGAAAATGACCCAAAACAAATGATAATATGCCAGATGTTAAAGGAATTTGTCCCTGGATACAAATGGCCAACCTGCCACAAAAATGGCAGATCTGCAACAAAAATTCCTGTTCAAACAGCAACTTTTGTTGTGCCAGGACAATTTAATGTTTGGACAATTTAACGTTTGGTCAGGTCACAAGCCCACTGTGCTCTCTCTTCCCTTCCTCCAGACAATTGTACTTGTCTTCAGACACTCCAGAGCCTTGGTGGAAATAAGTAAGATTTATCTTCCCACCCCACCATGCTCTTGTATCTAAATGCTCAGCCCATCTAGGGTGCATCCAGACAAGCACACAGGTATTTCCCTGGGGATAAATAGCAGTGGCACAATATGCATGTGTGCTCTGGCACGTGGTAAGCTGCCCCAGGTGGGACAGGAGAGGGTGAAGCCAGCACCTGGGCTGGCCCCAGCAGCCTTACCTGGGGTCGTGGGGACCTCCCAGGAGTCCAGCAGCAGCAATACAGGAGAAGGTGCCTTGCTGGCAGCCAGAGCATGGCTCCGGCCAGCCAGGCTTTGGTTTTGGGCAGTGCATGCAGTAGACATGTGTGCCACCCCGTTTTTTTTTTCTAGCACAGGATTTTTTATGCTGAGGTATCCCAGGGTCAACCTCCCCCTCCGATCCCACACTGCAAATTAGTAGCGTGGGGAATACCTGCATGTGCAGTGTGTGCAGTGCTGCAGTGCCACATACTGCATATGCACGCTCGTCTGGATGTGCCCGTACCCAGACCAGATTCTGGATCTTTATTTGTCCCTCAATTTCATCACTGCCCTGTACCAACTTGTCCTTTTAACAAAGGGCATGCTACACTATGCCCCTCACCTCACTGCTTCAATGTACAATTTTACTTGTCTGAGCAGTACTGTAATTATCCTAGGTTTCTTTATGATAACTTACCTTACTACCCCCTGCCTTCATAGGAAGCAAAATAAAGTGAAAATGAAGGAGAAAAACAAAAATTAGTATATATAAAAGCAGATTTGTTAACATTTATGGGAAAAAAAAGAATGACAATAAATAGTCTACCAGAAATTTAGGGTAAAAAACTAAAATACACACAATAGATCTAAGTGTCTTCAGTGGTCATAACAACTGGCTTTTACTTGAAATTTGATTCTAAGCTTTTAGAGAGTCTGATCCAACACCTACTGAATTCAACAGGAAATTATATTGGTTTGTTTGGATGCTAAATCAAGCCCCACTCCTTTCCCTATTTCCTTCTGCTCCTTTTCACAACTTCCTTACCTCCTCCCCTTGTTTTACATAGCTCCTAACCACCCTCCCCCTTCCCAGCTCTCATCCCTCTGCTCTTCACTCTCCTACATTCAAGCTACTCTGTTTCATCCTCCTTTTTTTTCTTTTTTCTTTTTTTTATACTTGGGCATCATTTGGGGACTAAGAGCACTGGATAGTCAGTATCCCTGCTCTTACTTCTTACTTCTTACTGACCAGCATCAGAACAGCCTCTGGACAGATCATCCTCGTATTTTCTGCAGGAGGTATGTGGAGTTGGAACAAGTTTATCCCCAATAAAATCTCTGGAGAATGTAAGTGCAAGCCTACATAGATAGAGGGAGACCTGGAATTTTGGGGGTGTATACCTTAGCCAAATTTGGGTAAAATTCATGAGGATGATTAAAGGTCTGTCAAATTTCTTCAAAAAACCTAGAGCTTCCCATTATAATGGTTCTAAGAATACTTTAACAAGGGCTAAAACCAATTTTTACTATCCTCATTCTTTCAAAGTGAAAAAATAATCATCATGAGACAGACAATTTCAGCCTGAATAGTTAGTGAGGTAAAATTATAAGCAACTGAAAAAGGTCTTTTATAGCAAAATATGTTAAGTCACTATAGGTCCTACCACCAGCTCCGTTTATCAAGTATTTTACAGGTTTTCAGAACAGAACGTCGGAGAGAAGTGATGAAACCCTAAACAATTACATCTGATTATCAAATATTATTTAAAAGATGTTTCACTTATCTTAATGTATACAGCACAGCAGTATGATACCAATTTAGAAATTACCTTTCATCTAATGATGGTTCCTTTTGTTGCAGGTGAGGCTTAATTCCAAACATTGGTCTGATGTTTGTTGATAAGGCTTTGATGGTGTAATTAATTTCATTTTCTCGTGTCACGTCGCTGTCATAGCCTAAGAAAACCAATATAGAAAACAGGATTAAGAAATAAGAAGCAAAAAATAGAAACCAGCTGCATTTATGTCGAGCATCACCTGCCAACATACTGGACAACAGAAAAGAATACAACATTGAATACCATCCTTTAAATATACACACATGAAAATAAGTTAGGGCAGCCACTTAAAAAAAAAAGTATAAAAAAGATACTAAAATATTATCCTTTAAAAAGTAGTCATTCTAAAAACATCAGTGGGGTGGTAGAAAAGCTCAAAGATATCTTTAAAATGGGGAAAGCACTTTTAGAAGTACTTCAAAAGTAGTAATTTCTATCCAATTATGTCTAGAACATGAAACCAGAAATCATCTGCTAATTACACATATAGTTTAAATAATTTATTTTCCTTATTTCTATTTCTAAATGGCCTCTTTAGAATATTTGCACTGTCTTTAAAATTTGTAAGCACAAGTATTATGAAGTCACATCATATATATGTATTCTTACACTTTCACTCTTGAGTTTTCAGGTCAGAACTGCTCAAACACTTAAAAAATGATAAAACCCACAGAACATTAGATAAATGATTGGCATATGTGTCACATGAACCATTAAAGGTTAATTTAAAAATTATGCCTCTGGTATTTGAATGCTGAAATAAATTGCTGTTTCCCCTAGAGAAAACAGATCACTTAATTTACTAACATACTATGCACTACAAGGGATCTGCAGGCATTACATTTGTTTCACTTTGTGTGTGGGTTTCATATCACAAAACATAGACAGTCACATATTCATACTATTTGCCATGCTATAAAAATGGTGGATCTTGCAAAAAAAACCCCCAAAATAACAACAAACCATATTTACTTGAATATAAGATAAGGCTCCCTGCCAGCCCCTGGGCTAGTACCCGGGGGAGCCTGGAGCTCCCCCTGGCTGCTGCAGGGGGGCAGAGCAGGGTGGGAGCAGTTCTCTACAGGCTGCTTCTATTGGGTACGCCCACACATGCAGGCACGTGCACTTGCAGCAGCTCAAATAGCAGTATCCTGGGGTACAGGGCAGCCATAGAGACACTCTGCCTGGGTGCCATAGCATCTCTCTGGAGGCCTCAGTGTCCAGTTGCCTAAGGACACGAGCATGCCCTGTGCCACTTTTTTTCGGCTTTTTTTTTTTTTTTTTTTTGATACTGGGATTTCCTGGTATCAAACTTAGAGCCCATGCAGTAAATATGCAATGCAGAGAACATTTTTTTTTTGATCTTAGCATGCCTCTTGTGGCAGCTCAAACTGCTTTGAGGTGCAGTAACAGGCATGTGTGCACTTGTCTGTATGTGCCCATTGGGAGCAAATCTGCTTCCAAGAGGGAGCACGTGTAGATGTGCTCCCCACTAGGCTTACTGCACTGTATTTTTACTGTGCAGTAAGTCTACTTCAAATGAATAGCATGTGTAGACATTAGGCCTGTGCAAGGCGGCTAGAATTTGCTTCGGATTCGGCCGATTCAGAGGACAGTGATTCAATTCAGTGATTCAAATCACTGTCCCAAGTTGATTCGGCTGAATCTGATTCGGAGATTTGGCTGCCACCGAATCGGTCAAATCTCCGAATCAAATGGGCCCATCCCCTAAAGCCCCGCGCTCACCGGGTCCTGCCAGGCAGGGGGGCAATCCCCGCTGCCCCCCACTGCCTCGTGCTGCATGGGGGACTCTGCCATGAGCCCCCAGAAGCCCCGATGGCTGCTGCAGCAGCTGATGAGCATGGGGCTTTCTTTTTTTCTTTTTTTAAAGTGCTAGGAAGCTGAGGCCAGGCAGGGCAGCCATTGACAGGGGGTGGGAAAGCGGGCAGGGGATGGAGGCTGGGGATGGAGGCTCATGGAAGAGCCACCCACACAACATGGGGCAGTGGGGGGGCTGTGGGGATCGCCCCCCTGCCTGGCAGCAGCTGGTGAGTGCAGGGCTTTTAGGTTTTTTTGTTGTTTAAAGCGCCGGGAAGCTGAGGCCAGGTGGGGCAGCCATTGAGGGCTGGGAGAGCGGGTAGGGGTTGGTGGGTGCTCAGGGGGGCTGAGGGAGCAGACAGGGGGCAGGGCCTGGCGGGGGTCCCCCCACGGTCCCCTCCCCCTTCTTACGTATCCCTCCCCTTACTTACCAACACGGAGTCTGGGTCCATTTCCCTGTGGTGGTGAATGGCGACTGCCTGAATCTCTGAAGCTCTCTGAATCTTTTCCAAATTGATTTGGAGAGCTTCGAATTGACTCGGACCTTTTCGTTGGTCTCCGGATTCAATTCGGATTCAGAGATTCGGCCACCAAACTGGGCCAAATCTCCTCCAAATCGAATCAGCACCCAAAGCTTCGCACAGCCCGAAGCTTCGCGCAGACATGCCCACTGATAACTAAAGTCAAATCACTATGCAGAACTATCAGTAATATTTACAGATTGAAAAGTCAAACCTGGAAGAGGTAGCTTAAAAGTATTTGAGAACTATGATTAATACCAGAACAGGCAGGCAACCCTCACTTCGAAACACAGGCAGAATATTGAACCACTTTGGAAAGTCCTTGAGTACCCTGACTCATAAACCTCTAGGTCTACAAGATGACAAGGAGCCTTTTGAAATGCACCCATTAAATATGGCAGGGAGCATTTTAGTACTATGAAAAGAACTAAGTGTTGATAGTACTATACATTTCAGAAACTTACAATAAGGTGGTCTGTGTATTCATCAGTCCCTATCTCACAGAGGGTGTTACAAGGTTTAAGCAGTGTTTATAAAACATTTTGAAGCATTTGGGTAAAAATAGCTCCGTAAGTTTTAGTATTTCTAAATGGACAATTTCCCTAAAGAATCCAAAATTGCTGTATTAAGCCATCTTAAAAATATTACTGACCTCCATCTTCTTCAGAATCTAGATCAGACTCTTCACTATCACACTGTCTGCTGTCTCGATGTCCCTCCATCTCATAGGTCCACAGCATTAGAGAGGTGTCTGCCCCTCCAACAGTGACTAACAAACTGTCATCATGAGTCCAACGAACATTTGTTACATGTGTACTGTGTGCCACATACCTTTTAAATTTTCCAAACTTTCCCTAAATAGGAAAAAAAAAAATCCCCAGAAGACAATAATTTAATCAGATTTTCTACATAATGTTAATTAGCTGCTCAATAAAAATATATTTTTGTCCACTGGTGCATCTAACTTTTTTAAAACTCAGATTTTTAAAAATGCTCTCGTCTGTATTTTTTTCTGAACTATATATTTTGACAGCTTCCTTAATCATCCAGCAACTTGATGAAATATAGATCCTTTGGTCTATTCAGAAAAGCCTTGATTAAGGCAACAAGGAGCAAGGTGACTTTGTGCAGACAGAAGTGACTATTTTCTCCTGATCTGGCCACAAAAAGCAGTTTATAGCTGTGACCAAACACAAGTGCATGGCTGGACTTCAAAAATGGCCCATCAGGTGAAAACCTGGCCCTTCATTGTATGAGGTATCAGATAAAGATGTTTCAAAATGTAACACCTTCTGTAACTTGTGCCTGAGGAGCTCCCAGCCTATTGCTGTTTTCAAAATGGGAAGAGGGAAAGGGAGTGGAGGGATTTTAGCCTGAGGTTTTTTCAGCCCTGCCCCCCCCACCGAGGATGGAGGGGGCCCTCCAAGCTGGGGTGGGGGTTTCAATTCACCCACCCCACCCTTCAGCACCAGCTGGGGAGCCCCAAGAATAAGCTCCCTCTGCTGCCAGTCCCCCCTCCCTTTCTGGGGACAGTGAGCACTGGCAGAGAGCCTGGCCATTGCTGTAGGAACCTGGCTACAGGCTGAGCCCACAGCTAGACTCCCCTCCCCCCTGGAACCAATAGTGAACTTCTGTTTGGTCTGAGGTAATGAAATCCTTCTGAGTTATAGCTGGGAGCTGCACTTCTGTGTGCACCCTACAGTACAGTAGAATAAATAATGTGTTTTAGAAATCTGCATTTTTCAGTAGATTTTACCACTATATTGAAATGGTATTATTTTCAGCGAAAAATAAAAAACACTGTTTGGATAATATTTAAAATTATATACAATATTAAAATTGCTGTTTTAACAGGTAGGACAATTCAGATCCAAATAATGCACACATGTGCATGCTACTGACATCACTTGTGTGATGGAGCATGTTGGGACGAAGACATGTGCAATGACAAATATATTCAACAATACATTGTAAATGACAAAATCATCTTTATTTCACTCTCTAAGCATGGTTACAAAATGTTTAAGAGAAATGTTACCAAATTTGTGGAGCAGTGAATTTTTAAACTCTGGTATAAGTAATTTTATCAACCTGTTTTCTAATACCATGATTAAGAAAACAACTTACTTTAGCAGGGTATCGAAACAGTTTCACAAACCCAAAATCATCGCCTGTGGCTAACACCTTATTATCACTAGTGAGGCATGAAGCAGTTACATCTGTGACTTCTCCAATAATTGGCCAGATTCCTTCACAGCAAGATCCCAGAACACTTGTCCACGATGCCCAGCCAATCTTTTCTACCTACAAAAATAACCTGTTTGAGATAGAGTATACTTATCCCTAGGCAATTATTCATCAATACGACCTCAACAAAGAAAATCCTTACATGTTAAAATATAGTATTTAAGAAATAACATTTTAATATTTTATTATCCTTGTTTATTATAATTTTAGAAGTTCCCACTGTGCTAGAAAATGGCTTTCTGATACAGGGCTTCAGAGGCATTTGGCAAGGGAGGGCTTTGGTAGCAGTCACTTTCCCATGCTTGTGCAGGGAAAAGCACCGGTTGTGGGAACTTCTCCTATGCGAAAAAGTAGCTGTGGCAACTGAGTCCTACTGCCTGCTTGCCCTTGAAACAAATAGCCCCTAGCCTGAAAAGACTGCCAGCCACTGCTTTACATGGTTCTTTCTTCAGATAAAGATTATTTTGGGGGTACCTAACTAATTTCTGTTGAATTTAAGGAAAAAGACAGCAAATAGCCTAACAGAAGTTTTCTCCTAGAGCCACTTAAGAACTGTGGCATTTAGTCTACTGATGTAGTTTATACTACTTTACCCCAATATGAGGTTTGCAACTGCATAAAGAGGCCTTGTTATTTCCCTACCTCCAAACTGGGAATTGTCTGCCTCTTCCCACGAGGAGCTTCAAAAAATAATTGCTCTTTAGCACCAGTGTTAACTTGTAGAAGTTTCCCTGTAAAACATAAAAACATACACTGATTTGTTGGATTGAAACACTCCAACTGAAAAAAATGTCCATTCAGAACATTCCTGTTTAGGATTTTCCACAGATGTATTTAATTGATTTAATTTAAAAATGCATTTGTAAATTAACCATGCATTTACTATTTAAGGTCCCTGCAGGAAAGCCAGTTTTCCTTTTGAGTGTGAGAATATGAAACAATCTGTTTTCTTGGATGTGAGATGTAACAGTACATAGTTCAATAGGTAGTAAATAAATATGTATTTGTATGTAAGGTGTATGAGAATCTAGACAGAATTCTTCTCTTGAAAATTTGAACTGTTTTAGGTAGCTAAACTGCTGGTAGTTATTCAGTTACATGTAATTGAATACATGTATATACACTAGCTATATCAGCATCTCACTAAACTGAGAGAATGGCATCAGAAATTTACACTTTAGGTATGCTGGATTAAATTAAATAAAATCTACATGTTTAAGAGAACAAAGAAGACTACTCTCTGACTCCCCATGAAGCTTTGGCTACAAAGGACAGTTCTGAGTTAGGTGTCAGGCCCCAAAACAATGTGAGGGGAGAGTTAAACACCTAAAAACAGAATCTACAAAAGCTAGCATACTGAGCTGAGAGCCACTAAGGTTTGGCAGTAGAAAAAGGCAAGTCAAGGGGTGGGAATGATACCTTCTAGCATGCATGTGCACACATGCATGTGCACCCCTCCCCAAGACAGACACATTCCTCCAGTTGGGATACTTAACCCTGAGCCAGCCCTTTCCCATGCAACACAGCAAGGAGAAGGAAGTAATGGTCAAGCAGCTTTCCTCTGAATAGCATAGTGATTACAACACCCACCAGGGTTGTAAGGATATTCTTCAAGGAGCTCTGCTACTCAGGGACTTAGGTGCCTAAATGCACTATTTTGCCTCAGGTGATATGAACCCACATCTCCCACCCATGAGAAGAATGTCCTAATTACCAGGCTGTAGGGCATTCTGGAGTGGATCCTTCTCAATATCTTCAGATGAAGTTGCTTCACTTATATACAGTATGTAGTAAATATTCAGTGGAGCAGGAACTAGAACACAGGTCTCTCTCACTTCACCAAATAAGCAGCCTAACCATCAGGCTAGATGGTCACTCTTCCCTTCTTTTTCTCTCCCTCCTCTGTTTAAGTTTCATATGCGGTTAGGTATGTATTACATATGTCTATTGAATAAGGCAATAGGTGAGAAAGGTGAGGCAATAGTCTCAGGGCTTATGTATGAACTAAGGGCCCAGCTCCTTGACACTGAGGACTTGAGTCATTTTCTGTGTGTTTGCTACCAAACATTTAGGTGCATAGGGAATTTTAGTGGCAAAAACTTGGTCATCTGGGATATTTTGACATTAAGAATTAAGTGGCAGCTGAGTAGGGCTTTTGAGGATTTACATTTTGGAATTAGACACATACAGTAGGTACCTAACCTTTAGTGGATCAAGCTCCTAAGTGTATAAGTAAATTTTGAACATGGTATTTTGACATTTTTCAAAATTTAACCTGTAATTAACCTTCCAGTCATTATTTAGATACATTTCTATAACTTACCTCTTATGTCCCAGTCCATGTGTGTTATGTAACTGGTTGCTCCCTTGCAGATTCCTACTCGCTTACTGCTCATTACATTGTAGATGTCTACAAAGTTGTCACATGATGCCACAGCTAAGTACTTTCCAGCCCCTTAAATGCATTAGTAGAAATGTAAGACATTTAAAAAGAAAATCACTCTTCTATGCATTAGTGGATAACCTATTATCCTTTGACTTCTTGGAACTCAGTTAAGTTAAACTTTCAACTCTGTTAAGTAAGATCAGTGGTCTAGCTGCCTCCGGTATATCAATATCACAGAACAACCAGATGTGGCCCATGGTGCCATGTCATCCAGTCCATAGGGCTCTGAATGGGTCTGCAAATTTGGTAGTAGGCGAGCAGTGGTACTGCTCCCCTGCTGTCAAATGGGCCCATGGGGAGCATTGAGCCCTGCACACTGGATTTGGTGCCTGATCTCAGCCCACAGGGCTGGGTGGGGGCAGTGCCAGGCCCCAGGACCCAATCCCACTGTGTGGGAGACAGGAGATGCAAGTGCTAGCCCTCCCCTCCCCTCCCCTCCCCCCCAACTGAATCCTGGCATGCAGGGGGCAGGAGGGAGTGATGCCAGGCCACTGGGACCCAATCCCAGGGGGTGGGGGGTGGGAAGGAACAGTGCTGGGAGCCTAGGGTCTAATCCCAGCATGCAGGGCAGGAAAGGGGTATGCCGGGCCCTAGGACCCAATCTGGCCTACTGGTGATGGGCCCCACACCTCTCATCTGGCCTGTGGAGCCAAAAGGTTGAGTGTCAGTAGTATAGCCAACCAGGGTATCTTAAAAATGACCTGACAATCCAAACAGTTCTTGCCTGCAGAGGTTGGTATGCATAAAATTACAACTCAGGTAGCAGAAGTGCATTATTCATGTGATATTTTATACAAGTTTTACCTTCTTTATTGATACCAATATATCTTGAGCTATATAGTTAAGCTCTTAAATGGAAACTTCTTTGGAATTACCTGATCTCAACTGCAACTGCTGAACCCTTTTAGAAAGCCAATGCTAAAGCATTAGAATCAGGGAGAATCAGAGAAAAGTAGGGCTAGAAGGGACCACTAGAGATCAGTTAGTCCAACACCCTGTCTGAGGCAGTTTCATCCCTATCCAAAACATCCTATACCAATACACTGTCTAATCTAGCAAAACTAGACAGTCAACCTAAGCACAACACAAGACATAACACCCTAATTTGCCACAGGTAAAACAGGGGGACTACAGCGGCCAACATCCTGCTGCTGCAAAATTTGTTGAAATACACTCAAGAGATTCCAAGTAGAGGGCCATGCCCCTCCTCCCCCGCCCCCACACCACTACAGAGAAAGGCTAAAACACTGATCATCCATACCAATCTTATCATGATGCAAAATTCCTTCCTGAACCCAAATACGACAAATCATCCTGACCCTGAGCAGAGTGGGAAGACCCTTTAGCTAGAAGCCTCTTGCTTTGGTCCCATCAGGAGCTCGGGCACACCCAAGTCAAAATCCCTAGCCTTGGCTGCAGCCAAAACCCAATGTTTCTGAGGAAGGCTTTAAAAAATATTGACATGTAGCAGCAGGAGGGGAAATACTCCATCCCATTCCCATGCACTAATCTACAAAACCCAGAAGCATGGGAAATACCTGTAGTAAAACATAGGCATAGTTATGCCTAGATCATCTCTGACCAAGGCCTGTCCAACCTCTTCTTGAATACCTCCCATGATGGAAAAAAACACAACTAACTTCCTAGGCAGTCTATTCCACTGTTAAACTTACTATGCTGCAACTTCAAGCCACTGGTCCATGTCCTGCTCTCTGCAGCAACAGAGAAAATGTGTTTTCCCCTATTCTTTTTTTGTAGCCCTTCAAGTATTTGAAGACTACATTCATGCCCCTCTAAGCACCTTTCCATAAGCTGAACATGCCTATTTCCTTCAACCTTTCCTCATATGACTTGCTTTCCTTGTCTGGAAGGCAAGTCAAATGTCTTGTTTTCACGTGCCTCTGGAACCTCTCCAACTTGTCCACGTCCTTTTTAAAATACGAAGCCCAAAACTGCACACAACACTCTAGGGCTACAGACAAAAATTCAAAGAGCCAGAGCCTGAGTTGATTCAACCTTTGCAGGTTAGTTTAACCTGAGTAGACTGAACCAATTTGCAAGTGAATAGACATTCTCTTTTGACTGAGCAAATGCAGGCACATGCCTGCAATGGCTCAGGCCAGAAGCAAGGGGGCACTAGAGTGAGCCCTCAGTTAGAGGGAAACTAACCTGAGGGAAGGGGCATAGACAGGCCCAGGCGGGCCTGACTATGATTGGGGATGGGTTTAAACTCCCACTCTGGCCTGCAGGTCTGCTTGGAGGGAGAGGGGGAGAAGCAGGCCCTGTCAGAGGTTCCCAGCCCCCCACCCCTGCTCACTCACTGGCTGGTGGCAGGAGTAAGGGCAGGGCATGACTCCAGTAGCCTGAGGGGAAGTGGAGGTTTAATTCCTGCATTGCAGCAGGGGCAGCATGGGTAGTGATAGGCTCCACTTGTGGATCTGGGGCCGTGCACTCGGTTATGCGGCCCGACTCACTGCTGCCTCCTGCTGCAGCAGTGTGACCCAGGCTAGGGTGGCTTGATGGGGTGGGGGTCAGCAGACTGGGCTGCACTCCTGGGCTGTGGGGCAAGGCTGGACCGGGCAATGAGCCACCACAGCCCAGTTGGGTCTGGCCACATGGCCCACAGCAGCCCACTCCTCCCACTCCTAGAGGCAGAGCAAACTATCACGGTGGTCAGAGATGAGGCACCAGTCACCCAGGTGTTCCAGGTGGTTCACAGTAGTGCCAGGTGCTCAGGGTGGGCTGCTGCAGGCCAGTTGCTGCCTACGCCCTTGGGCTGCAGAGCTGGTCCAGACCAGGCTGCAGCTGTCCATTGCTTCTCCCTGCTGCTGCCCCCACCCATGGCCCACAGCAGCCTGCCCTAAGTGCCAATCCCACTGCGAGCAGGCAGTGGGTTACTGGCACTTCACCCGCCACAATAAGTTTGCTCTGTCACTACTGCTGGGAGAGGGAGGAGGCAGGGAACCACATTGCAGCAGCAACCCACCTGGAAACCATAGCCCCCATGCAGGGCTGGAGGCAGGAGGTGGTGGGTGCTGACCCCCACTCCCTGGGGCCGCCCCAGCCTGGGCTGAACTGCCACAATAACAAAAAAAACAAAATACTTTCTTTGGCTACAGACAAAGTTTAAGCGAAAACCTTGAGGCACAAAATGTCACACAGCCACTGCCCAATAATATCCTCAGCCTGAATGAAGTGGCAAGACTTTGTAAAGTTCACTATACTTAGCAGCTCCCATTGTTTTCAATGAGTCAACTTGACACTGATCTCTTTAATATTTAGCCTAAAATATGAGCAAACCT